AGTTCTTTCAGGTCAAGATTAGTTAATTGACAGGATAGTTTGAGTAAAATTGCAATGTGCCAGTCTAGATCTAGCTAACCTATCTGTCAAGCAGTTCAGAAAATCATGTTATAGCCATACAAATGCTGTGAATTAAAAAAAAAAATCCAAATCCAGCTCTCTCTGGTCTAACCTTACTGAGAAAATTGAATGTAAACAAAACCTGATGCGAACTCTAGCTTAACCCTTGTCCCCAGGTTTGGCTGAGATTAAGGATGAGTCATCTACTGTGGTGGAAAATAATGGTGAAAATAAGCATCTGGATTGGTTTTCTGGCATGCAAGCAGCCACACTGTGTATATTGCGGTCCCTCATGCTGAGGTACAATGAAACGCTGATTTTTTAACAAGTGAATTGCTGGAGCTCTTATCCATCTTCCATCTCCCCCTTCCCATTACTTTATTCTTTTCTCCTAGCACCACAGGGAAAAAAAAATGGGAGAGGTCATGCAGGAGACTTACTAGCCTGTGCACGTGCTAGCCTGCACCCTCAGAGGCAAGTGAACATGCTGCCAGTTTGATTGGGAGTGGTGTTCAGATGCCAGCCTTCACTACAGATGGCTGAAACTGAATTTTCAGTTCATTGGGGGTGCTATTTCTACCCTATCTGAACTATAAGTATGTTTGTTTAAATATTTTCTCTGAAATTTCACTTTTGGAAATTTGCCTTGTAGCATTGCAGAACTAATTCCACTCAGTGAATTATTTAATTTGGGAGTTGTTAATTATAATAATTGCATGATATTCCTTGATGTTAGTTATCAGAATTGTCCTGATGTAATTGATAAGTAACACAGACAATATGAAAACTGGAATGAGTCAACTAAAACAGGTTGTGACATCTGATTTTTAAATTTCATTGCAAAATTCCTAAGTATGACCTCCAAAAGCCAGTAAGTTGTGAGAGGAAAATGTCTAAACAAGTTTTATTCCATTTCATTATGAGACTTTTATGGACATCTTTAGGAAAAACATTAAATTGGTTTAAATCTTATGTTTTTCATTAAAAATAAACCCTAAAATGCTGACCCCTCAGCTAACTTACAGCAGAGCTGCTTATGTGAGGTAGATGTCTCCATCAAGTCTATATGAGAAGATTTTGCACGGGCACTAGAGAAATGTTTGAGACAACATTCTGTTATGAATTTTATTTAATGCCACAGTGACTTCATCTTACTGCGTCTTTTTTTTTCCCTCTGCCCTATGTGGGGGTAAAATAGGGTAAATAGGGTAAAACAGGGTAAAATATTCATGGATTGTGTAAGTTGCTGCCTACTTATACATCATATCCACTTGCCTCAGCCAAACCAAGCAGAATTTATGATATTAGATAATAACATGTGGATGTGGAGAGGGAGTGAACCAGAAGAGGCCCTGTAACCATGCTCTCTGCGTCCTGCTCCCTGCACCATCTCCCCTGGGATGGCATAGAGTGAGTGTAATAGCCCAGGTGTGTTCTGGAGAGGTGAGGATGACCGCTGGAGCTGAGCAAGCCTCCCTGGTGGGCTGCTAATGCTGTCCAGGTGGCTAGTGACCTAGGAGAATGGATGTAGGGGCAACACAAAGTCACCAGCATCCCATTGCTCACAAGAACAACCCCTCCTTCTGCTAGGGTAGGAGTCCAAATTCTTTTGACCAGACTGAGGGCTGGAGCAAACCCTATTAGTTGGGACAGCTGAGCTCTGCAGATGCTCAGGTGCAGATGGTCCACACAAGTTTCCCAGCCCCCAAAACGCTTCCCCTGGTCCTTCACATGAGTCTCCTTGTCAAGGAGGGACCGGGGGCTATGGGGCTGTGCTTCACACTGGCACACCCCTGGCAGCCTCCTCCCACCACCGCCTTTCTTGCCCTGTGCTGAGCAGAAGAGCAGAGTGAAGATAATGATCCTCATTTATATCAGTTAAGGTCTCAGCCCACTCTGGAGTTTTCTTCATTAGGACTGGAGGCTGTATTTATTTTCATTTCTCCTACAGTAGTGGCTTGCTGCAGTGCAACTGAAGCATCTCTTTACAGTGTATTAGTGGTATCAGCATTGTCTCTTCTCATTTCTTTTAACCTTGTTCAGCTTTGTCTTCCTCCCCTGCCCACCTCTCCTGCTCTCGCTCCCTTCCCGCGGGTTGTTTTCCCACTCTCAGACAGAACTTGATGTCCGGATTTGTCGTCTGCTAGGAGTGAAAAGTCATTGAGTAGAGGAGTCTACAGTGCTTGTCCTGTCGCTTCTTCAAGGTGTGTGAGTCAACCCCCTGTCTCCCTGCTGCAGGTAGACACCTTGCCTGCTTCCCCCATGTGGCAGGCCAGATGATGCCCTTGTGCTGTACGGGGTAAGAGGTGCTCTCTTTCAGTTGACAGCAGGCAGCAAGATCCTGTTGTCTCTAGAACCAATAATAAAAGAGCTGGGCAGCCAAAAAAAGCACAAAACAGATGGGTACACTCTGAGCAAAGATCATGGCCCATTTCCCATAGTCATCCCAGCTGAGGAAAGGGAATCTGGGCATGAAGTGTGACGCGGCTGTGCACATCCTACCCGACCTGACCTTATACCATCAAGGGCAGCTCTTCATGCTCATCCCTAGTCCCTCTCAGACCGAGGACTAGGCTGCGACTACCCATTGAGGAGATGTCTCATCCTAAAAAGGTTGGATCCTCCCTTACTACCATTGCTCCCATTTGTCCTTTGAACGTTACCTTCAGGCTCCAGGTAAGGGAAGTTGAGGGGACTTGGCTTTTACCTTCAGGCTCCATGCTGTCCCACCTCCAGAAGGAAAAGGAAGCAAAAAACAACCTTTTAAAGGATCTTTCAAGGGGCCCTGGCTCCCAGAGCTGCTGCCTCTCTTTTCGAAGGTAAGGGAAGTTGAGGGGACTTGGCTTTTTGGGCAATAAGGCCCGGGATCTAAGTGCGTACTGCAGGAGGAGCAGGAGCCCTGGGGTAAGTCACCCACAGGGATCAGCCATGCGCCTGCAGCAGCTACCGTGCTATTAGGTCTGCCATTCCTCTTCCTCCTCTTACTCATGGCCACAGCACGTCTGCAGTGCTGCCTGGTGGTCCAGTTATCCTGCGGAGCCCCTGGGGGCTGCTGACAGCGGCAGGGACGGAAGCCACCGCTGCAGTTTGCAGGGAAGGAGCCATCGCGGAAAGATTAATGCTAGGCTGAGCTCGGGGGTTTCACTATTTCTGCCTTGAGAAGGTTGTCGCCTCCCCGTGGCTTTAAGCACAGATACTCCCCCTGCTGGAAAAAAGAGAAAGGTGAAAAACAACATTAAACAGGCAGAAATGGCCTTAAAAGTGTCAAGATGATATTTCACTTTTCACTCTCTGACAGACTTGAGTAGCTGTGGCTGTAGCTGTGGCTGTAGCTGCAGCAAGGTCGTGGCCACTGCCTGCTTGCAGACATGTGAAGACAGTGATGCTGGGGCTTTCCTCTGAGTGCATGCTTTAGAAGATGCGCAAGCAAGGCCTTCTTTAATAAAAGCCTAGCTTCTGCAGCACTGGAGAGCCTCTCTGTCTGACCTTCCACAGGACTTTTTCCAAAGCCTGCCTCTAAACTCTGAGTGCTGAGACATGCTGGCTCACTGCACTTGTCTCTGCTTACTTTTGCACCTGATAAGACCCTTAGAAGCTCTCCAGAAGTAATGGATTCCTTCATGGAGGAAAAGCCCATAGTACAGATTGCCCTTCTGTGCAGCCCTGGGGCTGCATTGTAACACCCTGGAAATCCTGTTTCTGAATAAGAGAAGTGACAAGGTTTCTACCCCCTGTGTGTGTGATGTGCACAAACAAGTATCTGCAGGTACACACGCGCATGGTGATGGATGTGGAGAAAGGGTCCATCAAGCTCTTTACCACCTTTAAAGGTGGACTTAATACATTAGCTTCTATAGAGAGTTTTATAGACTTGTTTCCCATCAATGGGCAGCAGCCCTGACTGCATTAATTCCTTCCATTGAAATAAATGAGTCTGTGGCTGGATCTGACTGCATGGCTTTCAAGGGAATTCATTCTGTATCTTTCATGTTAGAGATATCTGTGAAAAACAGGAAACTGTTTTCCCATCTCATTCACATAATAGATAAGATGAGAAATTAGCTGCTGGATGAGCATCCTGGGGGCTGTTCATTTTGTCACAATAAATAAGGCTCTGCTGCTGCCTCGTGTGCGCATGCACCGCGCACACACACGTGCGCACGCGCACACAGGCTGCCTCTCTCTCAGGATCATCCTCTCACTTGAGTACAGTTCTGCCTCGTTGCTACAGACTCTCCAATTTGGAAAGGTTTTTCTTCCCTTATTTTTTTTCCCCCTTGTTTCCTCCCAGGGTTGCTCCTCACAATGTGTCTGTGGCCTTCACTGGGCTGGCTGTGCACACCTGTGAGTGAGGAAGAGGGAGCAGCTTTTGAGCAGGTCTGCATGTGGGCAGGTCTCCCAGTGAGCCAGGACCTGGCGGCATGGACTTTCTTTTGAAGTTTGCTTTTTCTGACACCTCACATTTTGCCCATTTTTTGAAAAGTAAGATGAAGGCAAGATCAGGTCAAGTTAACCATGCTCAAGCACTACAATTGCAATTTAGAAGCAAATAAATGTATTCCTATGAGGATACTGGAAAAGGAGAGACTGCTTTCACCCTCAGAGTTATCTTCCTGCAGACCCAGCTTGGGGGGATGCTCACAGCCTTGGAGCATATTTGAAAAGTGGAAAGTGTAGTCAAAGCAGAGGGCCTTTTTTCTTTTTTTTTTGTTTAATGTTTAGAAAACTAAAGAAAGGGAAATCAATTATGAGGCCTACCTGAATTTTATTTCCTCACCAAAAACCAAATTACTCAGCAAACTTATCGCTTGCTATTGCAGGCCTTGGTATTAAAGAAAACAATCAGGCCAGCAGGATTAATCTCTGACAGCTGCCTTATCTTTAACTTGCACCTTTGTTATTTTCTGATGAGCTTCTCTTTTTTTGCTGCCACGTTGTACCATACCTCACTGGTTCCTTTCATTTTATCATCAGGCAGGAGCGGAGGACCTTTCAGTTTATTAAAAAACCTTTATTTGTGAAGAACAAAGAGGGGGGAAAAAAGGCAAACAATGAGGTCAGACAATCTCCTCCTTGCCAGGAGTCACTCACCTGTTATTTAGAGTGTTATCAGTTAGAGGAGACTTGCATCATTGAAAATCGGTCCCCGACAGAATACTCTGTGAAAGCACACACGTGCACGCGCTCACGCTCGCGCACGCACACGTACATGCACACACACAAAAGCCCCTTATGATTGATTCATATTAACCTCCAGGCAAGGTCCTCTACTGCCAAGGATATAATATTTTCACTGGGGGGAGCTCACTGTTGTTCTCGCTCCCGTGTGGCAGTCAGGGTCTGTCAAACAGGAACAGAGCTTTGACACGTTTAGCTACACAAGGCTATGTATGCCACGAATAGCATGGGTTGCCAACCAGCAAGGCCTCCTTTTCTAACCTGCTTTGTGCTATCCTGGCGCCTAGTGAGACACAATGTGACTTTGAGACTTACACTTCAACGACAGCCTTTCTCTCCTGCCAGGCGAGTTGTGTGCTACTTCGCTTAAGCTTCAACTCAGGTAGCGCCCAAAGCGACTTTGTCACATAGGAACGTGTCCATTCCCAACTGCAATCATCAACGCTGTGTAGATGTTGGTTCCCTCGGTGCAGGAAACTCTTCCTGCCTCAGTCCTTCTGGTGGTTTGTGCTTTAGAGGTCTTTATATAAGTTTTGGTAGGGGGTCCTTCAGAGGTCCTTCAGAGACTGCCTCAGTCCTTCAGAGGTCTTTATATAAGTTTTGGTAGGGATCAAATGATCTCTGCTTGCAAAATATGGAACTACTTGCCTAATGTGGCCATAGGAAGTCCATTTTGCAGTGGCTTTTGCACTCCTTATGATCAACTGCAAAACCATCAACCTGAAGTTTCTGGATTTTTTTCCTCCCTCCCTTGCCCAGCCACATGCCTCGGGCAGAAATTACCTTCATACTTATTTGGATAACCTGACAATGCAGCTTTGGACAGGTGGGACACCATCTCTTTAACGTTTTGAACTAATGGCTTTGCTTTGGTTCCTCAGGACTCTGAGAGCTGCACTTATAGAAAGAGAATTAAAAAAAAAAAAGAGAGAAAAAAAATAAAGGGACATCTCCTTCTGGGGTTTAAAGTACAAACAGCTTTGAGGATGCCTTTAGGCAGCAACTGGTTGAAGATACTGAAGTTGCAGGTGACCACTTCATGACGGTGGAAGTGTACAAATGGATTTTGGGCTCATTGGTTTGTTGTGCTCATAGCTCATCCTGATGTGTGCATTATAGGCATACATCAATCAGGTAGTGTGGTTTGAGGCCTTACTTGCCATGTATGCATCTCTCATGCTTGTGGTCGCAGTGAAGAAAGTATCACAGCTGAAGGAACAGATCTAGTGTGGGATGGGCAGAAGAAGAATTACTGCAAAATGGAGTGTCAGTGGCTAAAGGAAACGTGGCCTTAGTTACAGATGTTTCAAGATTTTTTAATCAAGATTGAGAGCCAGATGTGTAGCTTCAGATGGGTCGTTTTAAGCCTTGTTTGTATGGCCGAAGCCTAACCAAAGACTATGGGCATGTTGAAAGAGTTGTGGGAATAATAACACTGAGAAATTCTTCAGAATAAAAAACCAAACCAAAGTGCACCCTCCCCGCCAGAAAAAAAAAATCTATCAAGAAAATCCAAACAAATTTTCAAGGTAAAAAACAAATCCAATGAATAAGTCAGGATAGTACCTTGGTGTACTCAACCCCATAAGAATTAAAAATGCTGGGTACCTAAACATGCAGATGTTTACCTTACTGCATCTAAGTGATCACATGCACAGAGCCATTGTCATCTACAGAGAAGACATGATGATCTAGTAATATGAAGATTTTTCTGGTGGGAGTTTAAATTGGTCTGCAGTAAATCATGCTGCCAGGAGCAGTGCATGGCATCCTTGTCCTTTGCCTCTCCTCTGAACCAGAGGAGGAAGCAGATGGTATAAAACTGCTTCTTCCAGCTCTATGCCAATCCCCATCCTAGAAAAAAAAAAACCCTCTACTGCCTGTTTGAGGCAGCTTGAACCCCTTTGCACAAGTGCAGTGTCAAAAATTCTCAGCAAAGCTTTTCTGCAAATAATGAACGCAGTTTCAAAGGGCTGATGCACAGATTCAACAGGATGCTCATGATCTTTTCTGGTTATTGCTTTGGGGAATAGGGTATCTCTCCTTTCCTGGGTATTTGGGTGAATCCTGTGGTGTATCTTGTCCATCATTTTGTCCTGTGCCATCTAGGCAAGAAGCCTTCTCTGTCATAGATGGCTGCTGAAACTAAATGTCTACATTTGACCTTGAATACCCCAAAAGACCATGAATTGTGGCTATTTTATGAAATAGAAATGCATGCAGATCTCCAGCTAAGAGGGATATAATTGCCCATAAAAGGAGTAAGTATGCTTCCAAACCACAGGCACACATAAAGAAATGCTTTTTGCTGTCACTGTCTATTTACCTATGTGTGTATGTATGTATTTATACATGCCTTTAAAGAGAATAATCTTATGCTTTATTATCTGAGACTTTTCGTTATTTTCAGCAATCTGCCTCTCTTCTTTCTAGGTGTTTTCACTTGAGAGAATCATCTTATGCTTTATTATCTTTTCGTTATTTTCAGCAATCCACCTCTCTTCTTTCTAGGTGTTTTCACTTCTCAGGTAGAATTATTCAGTTTGACGTCTCAGTTCAGAACTGCAATGTACTAACCCGGATGAAAGGAACCTGAGAAAATAAGCAGAGACAGCCATACAAAGGGAGCATGGAAGGGGGGGACTAAAATCACGGTGGAAAAAAAAAAGGAAAAAAAAAAAAAGAGGTAGGATAATTCTTTGACAGTGATCTTTTGGATCTAATGCTTTGGGGTTTGCATTGTACCCTATGTTCTTGGTTCTTTTTTTTTTTTTTTTTGATATGCTTTGGTTGGTATCTTTGTTCCTTCCCCTGCAGCCAATGACAGTGAACTGTCAATATGAGCTTGAAGGACATGTCAGGCCCCAGGAATCCCCTAACACGGAAACAAGTCTGTGGCATCCCGTGGCATGAGCATACGGAGGTGAGCTGGCTTGCTCCCTTTATTTTTGCTATACCCATTTAATTCTCTCCAGTGCAGTAATACTCTACTCTTGTCATTCCTTCCCAGGCTCTCCAGTAAACAGCGCTGGCCTCAAGCAGTTGTAGTTATTTATTTGATTTCATTTATAGTGTGCACAAACTTAAATTGCATTAGCTACAGTTAAAATAAAAACAAATCAAGACTCATATCCCCTAATGAATTACACTGTCATGACAACAGTGAAAGTAATAGTATCCTCATCAAAATCTCCTTCTTAGCCCACCCCAATATATTAAACTGGAGTTCAACAAAAGAGACAAGTTTTGCAACATGCCCTGGAGGTTCTCCACACAAGGAAGCAAATTCAAGATCTGTGGGCCTGCTGCAGGGACAAAGTCATTCCCAAAAGTTCTGCTCTGGGGTTCAAATGCCTCAGCTCATCTCAGTGGAGGACCCGAGGTTCATAAACAGAGGTAACCTCCTGGGGACAGCAGGTTCAAATCACAAGGAGATTTAGAAACCAAGGCCTTGATTGCACCTGGAAATGAACTGAAAATTGGCGCAGTCTGTGCACCATCTGCGTTCTATGGTTTGTGTCTGAAATGTGGATATGTAAGCAGGCAGCTGCATACTGCAATTAGCTGAAGTTTCTGAGTGGTCCTCAGACGTAGAGCTGAGCAGACCACATGGCAGCGATCCAGTCTGGAGATGAGAAAAGCGCAGACAATGGCGGTACAGTCCAACAGGACAAGAGGTTGAAATCTCCTCACCAAGCAGATAGGAGTAGGGGAAATAAACACTCATAGCTACTGCTGCTGCTGGAACAGTCAGAAGCATCTGGAAATCCAGGAGGCCTTCTACGGGTTGGTAACAAAGGACAGGGCTTTTCTCCATCCAGACGGCGACTATGACTTTTGCCATCTCCCCCAGTTATTTCCTGCCACCATTATCGTTTTGATTTTGCATGCAGTCTGCTCCTGTCTTCCAAGCCCTCATTTGGGATAGAGCCTGAGAAAGCCAAATGTCTGCAAAACCTGAAGTCCCACAAAATAGGAGTCACAAAGCTAAACATGACGAGCATTTGGATGGTGCTGTTTTCCAGCAGTGTGATACTTCCTTTGTGAGTATCACAGCTCTATAGAAAGACCAATGAAATAACCCTCTAATAACCCTTAAATAGGTGCCAGAACCTCTTGGGCATTGACTAGATGGGTACAAAATGTATATACTCAGATGCATCAGCTCTATTTTGAATCTAAAGTTTACCTCCAAGGTGCTGATCTCCTTGTTGGGATGAAAAAAAAAAAAAAAAAAAAACTATTTGAAGCCTGCTAAGGTAATCACAACCAGGATTCAGGAGAGTGTGTTGATTTAAGCCCTAGTTATAGAAGTTAGTAAGATTGCAGAGTCTTTTTAATGGGGATTTTTGAGAGGGAAATGGTGGCTTGAATTGGGAGGTTTAAATTAGAGCTTTTCTGTTTGCCAAGGGTCACATGGGAAGCCAAGTATATAGTACCGTAGGTGCATAATGTAAGGGAGAGGCCGAACAGACTGGTTTAATTACAAGGCAATAACTGCTTTATCACAAACATGATGGGTCTGATTTACCACTGCATTGCTCTAGTTGCAACTCTTCTGAAATGATTTCTCTTGGCTGAGACATTCTGGAGCAATGCATTGCCCTCAAGTTGTGCAGCCAGGGATCCAGTGTTTCTGGAGGAGGTAGAGACCAATTGCACTTTCGGGACAAAATAAGTTAGTATCACTACAGCTTTGAGTCTAGACAGCAATGGAGCCTAATGGCTAAAGTCTCTCAGCTAGAGAGACTTTCATCAGTAAAACAACCAATGCATGGAAATGCAGAAAGAGAAATTCATGTGGGAAGGAGACTGGAGTTTTTTCAGGGATGATTATATGGGAAGAGTGATAATGTAGAAACCCACCTTATTATAGGTGTAAAAAAACTTTGTTTAAAGATGCATTTACTCACTGTACTGACTGAAATTGAGGGTAAACTTCCTTTTGGTCCTGCAAGCCCTGACTAACCAACCTAGCATAGGACCCTTGGCGTGATTTTATCCCAACACACCCAACAACCTGAGAACTGGCAATTAATTTCAAACTGGATAGACTGGGTCGTTAATGATGTGTAAGACAAAAAGGCAACAGAGGCTGAGGCTGTGCACTGATAGTTAAAATAGGGGGGTTGGACTACAT